ATAGGTGAAAAGTTGATATAATATACGACTTTCGATGCTCTTTCCAACGATGTATAGCACGTCACTGCACGGTGTGCCGTTTTCAAGAAAAGTTGTAAAAAAGCAGGGCTCGACTGTGACTTGAACCCAACCACATTGAGTATACGAACAGGTGAAGGGGACACCTCCCATGTGCGGACGCGGCACTGATTATTGCTTATTATTGGCAGTCGGCCGTTGTGGGTGCGCCTTTGCTAAGCTTATATCTCCACAACTGCTTGACCGATTCACTCGCCGTCTTTTGTGTGGGATAGCCTCTTCCATTCTTACACGTAGTGTGCTATTCTCGATGCGTATGGGTGACCCCTAATGCACGTGCCACGTGCAAAGCGAAGAGGTGTCAGTTCGGTAGCAAGTGTAATAACTCTGTAGTTATTTTGCCGATTGCGCTGATCCTTGGCATGGATGTAGGCAACCGCCGGGCAATACATTTCCGTGTGTCACGGTTGGGGTGCAGCTGCACGTGCGCACGGGCAGGGTGACGCTTCCAGATCTCGAGAACGGCTGGGCCGATTGTGATCAAAGTTGGCACACCGTTAGGGATCGGCGAGTAGGGTGCCGTGCACAACTCAGATGGGACCCATTTGGCACGTGCGCACGTGCAGGCTGACGCTTCCAGATCTCAAGAACGGCTGGGCCGATTGCACTCAAATTCGGTACACTTCTAGAGACCGATTAGAAGGTTGCCGTGCACAAGTCAGTGAGTATGTATTTGCATGTGTCACGGTTGGATTGCAGCTGCACGTGCGCACGTGCAGGGGTCGCTCCCAGATCTTGAAATTGAATGGGCTGATTGAGTTCAAAGTTGGTACATCGCTAGAAACCGGCGAATAGATATTTTCATGTGCCACGGTTGGGGTGCAGCTGCACGTGCGCACGTGTAGGGGTCGCTTCCAGATCTTGGAAACGGCTGGGCCGATTCAGATTTAATTCGGTACACCGCTAGAGACCGGCGAATAGAGTGCCGTGCACAAGTCAATTGGGACCCAGGCTGCACGTGCGCACGTGCAGGGTGTCGCTTCCGGATCTCGAAAATGGCCGTGCCGATTGCACTCAAATTTGGCACACCGCTATAGACCGACGAATAGGGTGCCGTGCACGTCAGTCCGTATCACACCGACTCCGGTCTGCACGTGCAAGGCTCATCCTCTCGTTTGGCGGCGGGCGTTTTTGCTGCGTTTACAAAGGTGCTTGCTCAAACAACCTGCGGTCCCGCGATGCGGAGCCCAGCATCGCAGATGCTGGTTAACCGCAGGTTGTTTGAAAAGACAAACACTATTCGTTAGAATTGTGTTTTTCTATTGAAAAACAACCGGAGCAGTCGTTCACCGGGCTATGTTTTGCAAAGTTGGCCTGAGATTGGGGCAACTTGAGCGGGGCCTAGACGAAATGTACAATCTTCGTAAAAAGTTCAGTGTATGGGCTCCCGGAGGCGATCTACCTTATGGCACCGGTCGCTACTCGCTTAAAACCTCGTGGCACGTGGCACGTGCGATTCCATTTTCCCCATGTTAAGTCAATGGGGTTTTGGACACTTTTTGCGCCATCGGGAATGGCGGAAAAACGAGCCAAGAAAGAGGTGGTTTTCTTCCCAGCATTTTATGGCAAACACGTTCCGGTACACGCCAGTGTGCGCCGTATACCCCTCAGAAGTTCGTAACGTGTCTTTGCTCGAGGTCAAAGTTGGAATCTTGCTGTGTCCCATGTTAAGTCAATGGACGGCGATGTCGAGACTTTGCAGAGACATTTTCATTCGATCTTTGTACAAAATTTTAGAGATAGATTTCGCCCAAACTCTTATATCTTGTAGAGGAAAGAGCATAGTACTTGCTGGTATGCTTCGTTAAGGTGGCAAAACTCATTTTTTCTTTTAAAGTTAATTTGAAATTTAAAATTTTTAACATGGAAAGTCAATGGGAGCGTCTTTATTCCTCTATAACTTTTATCTTTAGTAAGATATATAGGTGAAAAGTTAATATAATATACAACTTTTGATGCTCTTTCCACTGATGCATAGGACGTCACTGCACGATGTGCCGTTTTTAAGAAAAGCTGTAAAAAATCAGGGCTCGACTGTGACTTGAACCCAACCACATTAGAGTATACGAACAGGTGACGGGGATACCTCCCGTGTGCGGATGCGACACTGATTATTGCTAAATATTAGCATTCGGCCGCCTTGGGGGCGCCTTGCAAAGCTTCTATCTCCACAACTACTTGACCAATTCACTCGCGGTCTTTTGTGTGGGATGGCTTCTTCCTTTCTTACACGTAGTGTGCTATTCTCGATGCGTATGGGTGACCCCTAATGCACGTGCCACGTGCAAAACGATGAGAAGTCAGTTCAGTAACAAGTCTAATAACTCTGTAGTTAGTTTGCCGATTGCGCTGGTACTTTGCATGGATGTTGGCACGCACCCGGCAATGCATTTCCATGTGTCACGGTTGGGGTGCCGCTGCACGTGCGCACGGGCAGGGTGACGCTTCCAGATCTCGAGAACGGCTGGGCCGATTGTGATTAAACTTGGCACACCGCTAGAGGCTGGTTAGTAGGGTGCCGTGCACAAGTCAGATGGGACCCGTTATGCACGTGCGCACGTGCAGGCTGACGCTTCCAGATCTCAAGAACGGCTGGGCCGACTGTGCTCAAAATTGGCATACCGCTAGAGACTGGTTAGTAGTGTGCCGTGCACAAGTCAGTTAGTATGTATTTTCATGTGCCACGGTTGGGGTGCAGCTGCACGTGCGCACGGGTAGGGGTCGTTTCCCGATCTTGGAAACGGCTGGGCCGATTCAGATTAAATTTGGTACATCGCTAGAAACCGGCGAATAGAGTGCCTTGCACAAGTCAATTGGGACCCAGGTTGCACGTGCGCACGTGCAGGGTGTCACTTCCAGATCTCGAAAACGGCCGGGTCGATTGCACTCAAATTTGGCAAACCGCTAGAGACCGGTTAGTAGAGTGCAGTGCACGTCAGTTCGTGACACACCCGCTCCGGGCTGCACGTGCAAGGCTCATCCTCTCGTTTGGCGGCGGGCGTTTTTGCGGCGTTACAGAGGTGCTTGCTCAAACAACCTGCGGTCCCGCGATGCGGAGCCCAGCATCGCAGATGCTGGTAACCGAAGGTTTGTTGTCAATAGTTAAAACACTATTCTTTAGAATTGTGTTTTTCTATTGAAAAACAAATCTGAGTTCCCTGACAATTTGGCAAAAGCTGCCTGAGATCAGTACAACTTGATGCTCTTGAAAACGGCTGGTTCAAATATTCTGATTTTTTCAGGATTTCTAGTGGGCCAGGTGATCTACGTTCTGGTATGGGTCTCCCCTCCGCGGACCATCTGGTGCACGTGCCACGTGACTTTAAAAATTCCCGTGTTAAGCCAATGGGGAAAATGAAAAAATGCGTTCCACGGCAGATTGCTCGAAAACGATCCAAACGACCCCCCATTTTCTTACATGCAGATCAACCACCATTCGGTGCACTACCCATGGGTATGTCGCAAAGTGGCCGGAAAAGTCCAGAACCACGTGCCACGTGCCGTTGAAAATGACCCTGCACACCGGAAATTGGGACTTTTGGTCATTTCGGCGCACCCATGATGCATACTATGGCGTGGGTGACCAAACAATGGGTGTCATCCGGTCGGCAACTGTTTAAGGTGTCGTCCAGTGGGCCAAAGTGGTAGTTTCAAACTTTTGGGATCCACCACTCTGGGGATTCTTTTTGACAATATACTTACGTTTCTTGGCGCAATGTTCATTCCACCCAGCCGGTCGTCAATGCGTTAGATGACCCAAATGACGATTGACCTGAAGGAAGTTGGGGGCGAGGAACACGCACGTGCCATCCGTTTTTTACTCGGGCGCTTTCATCTAGGAGATTTTTGCAGATACGTCAATGCGTTAGATGACCCAAATGACGATTGACCTGAAGGAAGTTGGGGGCGAGGAACACGCACGTGCCATCCGTTTTTTAATCGGGCGCTTTCATCTAGGATATTTTTGCAGATATCTTTTTGATTTGTGAAAATGACCAGCCTAGCGGTATGCCAGCCGCTGATAAATTATTATCTTGCTGCGGCCGGGCGCTTATTTGCGGTGTTTGCGTTTGGCGGCTGGCGGGCGACTTTTAGTCGTTTTCGGTTAGCAGTTAGCGTCGGTGCGGTGCGGGCGGTTTTATTTTTTTCGGCGTTTCGGCGTTTTTTTCTGTGTGGTTTGCGGCGGTCGGGTGATTTTTTGCCGTTTGCGTTGGCTTTTCGGGCGTGCGTTTTACACGTTTTGCGGTGTTTACGTTTTGCGGCGGGCGGGCGTTTTGTGTTTTTTTGCGGTGTTTGTCTTTGGCGGCGGGCGGGCGGGCGGGCGGGCGATGCGGGCGGTTTTCTTCTTTTTTTTTGCGTCGTTTGCGGTGTTAAATTTGTTTGCGGTTGGCGGGCGGTTTTATTGTTTTGCGGCGTTTTTGCGTTTTTTATTTGCGGTTTGCGGCGGGCGGGCGTTTGTTTATTTTTTGCGACGTTTGCGTTGGCGTTTCGGGCGTGCGTTTTGCGCGTTTTGCGGTGTTTGCGTTTTCCGGCGGGCGGGCGTTTTTCACAATTCAAAGTCCAAACCTTCGGGCCACAGCGCTCCTCGAAAAGCGCTGCCCTCGAGTATCTCCTGTCAATTTCACGCGGAACATATAGTATCATCATACGATCGCGGTAACTACATATTTTCTGCCGGTTACTGTTATTATCATTGATTCGTAATATTTCGCTACGAGCGTGGCTCGATTAACATTGTTATTATATTGGCATTCAATATTTAAGAATACAAATCTTTTAATGCATTCCAATTCCATCGCAATGTCAATATGCAAAAAAAAAACTCTAAAAATTGCAGCAGTTTTGTGAATCAAAAATAGCTGTAAAATAGGCCTGTATAACTTCAACAACAGTGCGCCGAAAAACGTCTAAAAACGCGTAAACAAAAACTAAGATGTAAAAAAATAACTGCACCCAAAATTTCGCGCACCCCACAGTTTTCGCTTGGTTTTCGCACAGTGGGATTATTTCATATTTGTTACATTTGATAGCTCGGAGGAACAATGCGTGAATTTTGTTTGACTACTCAACGAAATTGACTGAAGAGGCTAGGGTCAATGATAAGCTGCTGTCGAAGTTTGAGAATTAATCGCACTAGGTTTTCAAATGTCAACATCATCTACCTTGACCTGTGACGCAAATTGAAATCGGAAGCTACCTAGCAAAGGTAAATGGTATTGGTACCTATGGCTATGGGAGGGTATCATCACATGCTTAATTGTTTGCCATAAAAACAAACTATCAGCCAATATCAAGCAATGTTTTAATTTTTTTTTACTTAAAATATCCCATATTTGCATGCTCATTGCAGGTAATGAGCCCGACTTCATGTTAGTTAATGAGGTAATACCGAAAGCCCAGCTCCACCCTATCTCTCCATCTCTCTTAACTATCCCAGGCTACAACATGTATGTGAACTTTGACCCCTCTGCATGTAACCTTGGCAACAGTGGTCAGAGAGGGATATGTATCTATGCGAGGACAAATCTGCATGTGTCAGAGGTCACCTTCAACATGTCATCCCCCAAGGACCAGCTCTGGATTGAGATGCCTTTGTATGGCCAGGACAGCCTACTGCTAGGGTGCATTTACCGCAGTCCTTCTGGAACGGCAGAGCAAGATGTTGTAGAGATTGGTGAACTGCTAAAGACAGCATGCAGGTCTTCTCACTTGCATGTAGTCATAACCGGTGATTTCAACTTGCCACAAATTGACTGGGATCTGGGCGCTTCCACTGCCCCACCTGCACATTGCTCCCACAACTTTGTTGACATAGTGAATGACTGCTTCCTGCACCAACATGTCACTCAACCAACGAGGTTTAGACTGGGTGAAACACCACACACATTGGACCTGGTTCTGTCAAATGAGGAGGGGATGATCCAAGGCCTACAGTCCCTCCCTGGACTAGGATCAAGCGACCATGTTGTCCTCAAATTCAAGCTGAACTGCTACTCGGAAGTAGTAGAACCAGCTGAACCTCGTTACAACCTGAACAAAGGGAACTATCGTCTCATGAATGCTCGACTGTCTTCAATTAACTGGGCACCCACGACAGAACTCGAGACCGAAGTATTGTACAATGTCATCAAAGACACGCTTCTGTCTCTGGCATCCAATTGCATACCCCTTGCCAAACCAAAGTCAACGAACAAGAGCCTGTATGTTAACCAGGAGGCCCTGCGGCTCAAGAAACACAAGCGCGCTATGTGGTTCCAGTATGTGCGCACAAGAGACCCACTGGACTATGCACGCTTCACCCGCGCTCGGAATAAGCTCCGCACCCTTACCCGAAACCTCAGAGCAGATTTTGAGAAGAGGCTTGTCCTAGATATCCGAGAAAACCCCAAGGGATTCTGGCGTTACACTGGCTCACGATTGCGCACCAAAATAAGAGTTGAAGACCTCAAAAACGACGATGGGACGATGGCACGGAAAGACAGTGAGAAAGCGAACCTGCTCAACCATTGTTTCCAGAGTGTTTTCACCACTGAGTCAACTGTCTTGCCCACGGTGACTGCCTCCTATGGGGGCCCCCGTCTGGAAGACGTGGACATCAGCTCTGCATCGGTGAAGCGGAAGCTCCTCAAACTCAACGTGGACAGTGCTCCGGGCCCAGACGGACTACACCCCAGGGTTCTCCGAGAGACGGCTGAAGCGATGGCGGAGACATGGACGCGGCTGTTTCGTTCCTCCGTGGACTCGAGCCACCTCCCAAGGGACTGGCGCGTGGACGAGATCGTCCCAATCTTCAAAAAGGGCCTCAGGACGTGTCCCCTTAACTACAGACCGGTCACCCTCACATCAGTCCCCTGTAAAGTGCTGGAATCACTGATTCGCGACCAGCTGATGGAGCATCTCACCCGGACGGGGCAGTTGAGTGGCGCGCAGCACGAATTCAGACCCAGGAGATCCTGTTGTACCCAACTGCTTGAGACTCTCGAGGAGTGGACCAGTGGACTAGAAAGAGGTGAGGCAATCGATGCCATCTACCTCGACTTCAGCAAAGCCTTTAACTCTGTTCCACACCAGCGCCTGCTTCTGAAGCTGCGGGCCTGCGGCGTTGATGGCAAGCTCCTGAACTGGGTGCAGGCGTTCCTCACGGGGAGGCAACAGAGGGTTCGGGTGAACAACTCAAGGTCGTAATGGGCCGCTGTGACCAGCGGGGTGCCACAGGGAACTGTCTTGGGGCCGCTGCTATTTGTCGTGTACGTCAACGATCTGCCCGGTGAAGTCGCGTCCTCAATCAAGATGTTCGCAGACGACACGAAAATTTACAGGAGTGTCAGCCGGGCATCAGACGTTCTCACCCTCCAAGCTGACCTAGATACACTCGTTGAATGGTCGGAACGCTGGCAGCTGCCCTTCAACCGAACAAAGTGCAAGTCACTGCATCTGGGCTCCCACAATGGAAACTACGTCTACCACATGGGCGACACGCAGCTGGACCAGACCTCGGTGGAGAAGGACCTCGGAATCCACGTCGACCACCAACTCAAGTTCCGTGAGCAGGCAGCCGCGGCGATTTCGAAAGCATCGCGCATCCTGTCCGTGATCCGGCGAAGCTTCGCCCTTCTAGACGAGAACACTCTGCCTCTGCTGTTCCGAACGATGGTTCGACCTCACCTGGAATACGCGAACTCCATCTGGGGACCTTTCAATCGGGAGGACCAGAGGCGCGTTGAAAAGGTCCAGAGGAGAGCTACGAAGCTGGTTGCCGCCATCCGAAATCAGCCATACGAGGAGAGGCTCCGGATTCTCGACCTGCCGTCTCTATACCATCGCCGACGCCGGGGCGACATGATAACTGTCTACCAGGTGCTCAGACAGGGGATTGACCTCGAGGCAGAGAGATTCTTTGCGGCGGCAGCGACAGGCAACACCCGCGGACACCAATGGAAGCTGTCGAAACCGAGGGCCGTATCCCGAGTGCGTCGAAATGTCTTCTCCGTCCGAGTCATCAACGATTGGAACGGACTCCCGCCATCAGTTGTCGATGCCCCCAGCCTAAACGCCTTCAAAGCCAGACTGGACAAACACTGGGCACATTTGAAACACACAACTCACCTTAACGACTGAGTCAGGACACTGAATCAGTAAGGAGCTCGATAGGACCGGATCCTTGAGGCCAAGTGGCCTTTCAAAATTCCGAACTTTATAAGTAAGTAAGTAAGTAAGTAAGTATATTTGTATCTCGATCTTGGATCAGTAGCTCGAGGTCAAGAACGAACATTGATGGGTCCAGCCTGCCATATGATTACCTACCAAATATTTAACCCGCGCACCGACGGGGGTCTGCGCCAACTTAGTACCGACGGGGGGGGGGCGGATGACCGCCCCCCCTGAGATCTCGAGAACGAAGCAAGATAGCGACAAGCGGTAAACGGCATCGGATACGCACGGTCAAGATCTACAATTTTTACAAAGGTCATTTTCAGGTCAGGTCAAAGATGACGTCACAGGGGTCGAAAAAGTCAAAATGGCGGCGCTAAATATGGAGAGAGTTTTTCTCGAATAACTTTCGAATTAGTGAAGATAGGAACAAACTAAGGGCATCATCGTGATCCTCTCGTCAATCCGCATCGAATGATATATATGTTGACCTCGAAAGGTCAAGGTCAAAGGTTGACCTCAGGTCACGTGACCTCGAGGTCATCATGTATATCACTCGATGCGTCTTGACGAGCTGAACACAATGAGACCATCCACGCGTCTGTATCTTGTTCCTGTACGGAGTTATTGGCCAAAAACCTTTGGTGACCTTTGATGACGTCACATGACCTCACAGCTGCCCAACAGCAAAACAGACCTCAAGGTAGTGAAGGTTGATCGTATATGAAGTCATGTATGGTACATGGGGCCATTCCGACCCGTTTTAGTGGTAAAAACAGGGAGTTGATTTTTCCCCCATTGACTTATAATGGGGAGGTCGCGAAATTGACCTGACCTTAGGTCACCGATATCAAAATTCCGAGATATACAAATTGTAGCTACTAATGACCTAATAACATCCTGCGACTTTCAAAGGCCTCCGACATCTACTGTAGCTCTGGCACGGTGACAAAGTTGCAAAAAAGTGACTTGAGGTTGGGTCATTCAAAGTGACCTGGTGACCTGACCTTGAAAGGTAGGAGGTTCAAACTTGCACACCATGTGTAAAATTGATAAGGGAATAGTCATACCAAATTTCGCTATTCGCGAAAAACCTCAGGGGGGGGGGGGCGGATATCCGCCCCCCCCGTCGGTGCGCGGGTTAAGGACTAAGGTGTTGTTTTGTAATGGTTTTGAGAGGCTGAGGTCAAAGGTCCCTGGTGGGTGACTTTTTTAAGGTAGTTACATGTTTCAGTATCAGTTTTGCTCTCTCACCCTGATGAATGAAGCTGTAAAAGCCATAGTCTGTTTTTTGAATTTCATGCAATGTTTGGCTCTTGACTGGGCCTCATGTTTAACTTTAAAGATGCCATCATTTTCAATCTGAAGATTTCTGATTGAATCCTTCAGATGGTTGCTCCTGCAGATTTTGATTTGAACACTGCTGCTGCTATATTCTTCATTTAAAGGTAGTGTGCCAGCTTTCCTGGACCGTATGGAGTTAATGGCCCAGATAAGGAGAACCGGATTTTTAGAACTTATCCATACCTTCAAAACTCATGGAAACGTCTTAAATTCTTCAAATTTTGAGTACCCCAGTGCGAAATTCGCCCCGACGGGTTGTCGGTCGTACCCCAACCACATTTCACACCACTATGAACAATAAATACACACACTGAAATCGCTATTACCGATATGCTCATCCAATCAAGTTTCGATAAACCCGTTCATCATCAGCTCCTGCGGTTTCGAACACGCCTGTTAGGTGGTGCGGTAGACCGCGCCCAAAGCCAGGGCCCCGGTAACGTGAGGTAGCCGAGTCAGGGCAGCGTGCGCTGATCCAAGCCGGAGCCGCGCGTCCTCCCGGTGTCATGTGATAGCCCGGGGCTGCCCGCGGGGATGCGGTAGACCGCGCCCAAAGCTGCGGCCCCGGCTTGGGTCAGCGCACGCTGCCCCGACTCGGCTACCTCACGTTACCGGGGCCCTGGCTTTGGGCGCGGCTTCTGCTCATACTTTGTGGTGCGGTGGTGGTGCGTCGGGCTGCGCGCTCTGACTTCGGCCAAGAAAAATGCGTCA